TTCAGTGGCTTCGGCCACAGGTTAAGATTTGAAAACTAAGCTCGAGAACGACCACCACAACTCGAGATCGACCGACCTTCTCCGCCATAGAGCTCTCATTTTCTTTCAATTGGATCCAGTAACATTCTCAGAGAGGACCGTGGAAAGTTCTTGTGAATACAGCCCTGCAGAGTCCCGCTATTGACGTAGGAGATGATCAGTGATCGATTGTGCTGAACCCTTCCGGAACCCTGCTGGGTCACATGTCTGCTTTCGGAACCGTTCTGCCCATCGCATTCAACTACTCGACAAAGAAACTTCCGGACTACAGGCGGCAAGAGGCGATAGCCATCATCATGCAAGCTTTGCTTCTTCAACAGCAGCACAGCCCTAATCGGTTTCCAGGGCTGAAGACAGAGGTAACCTGCCTTCTCAGAAGTGGGGGACGGGTAACCGAGACCAGCTTCCGGAGCAGGGTACAGCATTCCGCCTTTTTCCAAGCGCACTGTTGCAGTGTGTCACGTCAATCTAGGACATAGTTTACTAGCCAGTGAACGATGAGCCACCTTAGATATCTTGAAATAGACCTAGACGCGTCCTACTTCAAAGCGTGGCTACTATGGCTGGGGGCGGGAGGTTACTGCCGACGTCACTGGTGGCAGGGCCGAAGGGGCTGTGGCGCCTGGCAGTCGGCCGCAATGGTGTGTGGCAAAGCCCGCAGTCTTCCGACCAATGACGTTGGCCGCGTAATCGTCCGTGCCTAGCCAACGCGCCCACTAGCTTCAACAACTTATTGAACTAAAATCAGCTGTCTCTGATGTCCTTACCCTTTCATTGAACACATTGTCCATTCCAGCTCCGGTCAGGTATCTGTTAACGATGAAGTTCTTTTGTGCGGTCGTAAACGAGATCTTGCCTTTCACGATGTTATAACTTTGCTAGAGGGTGAGTTCTGACGCATGCTTCTGCTGGCTTTTAGAAAATTCTTTGAAATTCTTACCACTCTGCCTCGCTGGAGTTTATGCCGTCATCACTTGGCACTCAGTGCTACTTAAGAAACTTGTATGGTGCAGAATTACCGAAGTTGGGGCTGACGCGGACTTTTGCCCTACCACCCATGAAGAGTGACCCCCACCCACTGTTCGGTCAGCCACGTCATACTCGCCGTACTCCGCCTGCGTCCTCTCACCGAATTGAAAAATAAAGCCTTCGCTTCGCGGCACTTCCTTTTGAATGTGTTCCCACACTGCCCCCCCCCTTCAAACGTGTATGACTTTCAGATTCGATACAGGCCTACCCATCCTACCAAACGGGATTAGGGTGGGTGTGCGGGGGGAAGCCTGATTGCTTCCGTTCCGTATCTCCTACTTTCGCTGTGGGAACTCTCCCTATCGTTCACTGGGTGAACGGGCACGAAGTCTGGAATGTCTCACGAGTTTCATACAGAATCTCACTAAAGTGGTGTTCAGGGCCACGCAGCATTCGTCTCACGTTTAGCGAAAAACAAGGTCGGTTTCAGAGAAAAATGTCAATACTAACTAGTAAAAAACTAGTAAAAACTAAATAGCAAGTGCTGATAATGCACATTTGTGTACAGCTAAGGTACCATTTTCAGCTGGAATAGTCGACGATATGCGCCCATATCTGGCTTGGGAGTCCAATTCGTACATCCATTGCCGTTATTTGGAAGAGAAAAAGAGCTTTTCCATCGGAAGCGATCGAAGTACGAAACAGCTATGCAAACGATTTGTGCCCTGATATGCACCCCTCCAAAAATGTCTTCCAGTGTGCGATGTCTCGCTGCCAACGCCACATTTAGCTGCTCACCACGCCACAATTGTAAGAAATATTTGCAGAGGAACGATTCAATTTTCTGTGAAACCCGCGTTCTCAAGGTGAGCATTTGATTGGGATTCTTGTGTGGGATTCCCAGGTGGGCTTCGGACAGATATTAAGGTCTATCACTGTAACTGTGGGCTCTTCGGGAAGCGGGGAGGGGAAGGGGTAGTGAAAAAGGGACTTGCGCACAGTAGCCTACGCCACTCAGGGTGTAGTAGAAGCAAGTCCTCCAGCAGATCTTCCACTGTCACGACAAAGTGAAGCGTCATCCATAATCGTCTTCATGCCCAAAAAAAGCTGAAATATTATTCACCTTCAATATTCGCGGTTGAATAACTCAGTGAGATGGTCGAACAGCTGGGGGCGGGCGGTTGTACCAGTGTCATTGGTAGAAGGGCTGCGACAGGGCGTTTA